TGCCAATCCTCCTCTTTTTTTGCTGAGGAAGACTGGCCCTGGGCTAACATCCGTGCCCATCTTCCTCCACTTTATATGGGACGCTGCCACAGCACGGCTTGCCAAGCGGTGCATCGGTGCATGCCCGGGATCCGAACCAGCGAACCCCGGGCTGCCGGAGCAGAGTGCACGCACTTAACCGCTTGCGCCACTGGGCGGCCCCTCACTGTGTTCTTAAAATTGGTGGGAAGTAGCCTTGAGGCACATGAGTATTGGTATTTTATGGTCTAAGTTGTCATGCCTTCTTCCTTGTATCTGGGCTCTAAGTTCTGAATAACTTTCTATCCCCATTAAATCATACAGAGAGAAGGGAAGAACTGGGTCTGTGATAAATATTATAGAAATTAAAAGCAGTGCTTCCCCACAAGAATATTTACATTCACCCAGCTGCATCTGATTACTTGTAGTGATTGCCTGGAGTACTGTAGGACAACGTGGCCAGCTGGACTTCGTTAAAAAGTTTCATTTCTGCAGCCCTCCTGGACTCCCTGTTTGGTGATGGGACTAGACATAAAAGCTTCCAGTTCTTCACTATGTTTTTATCCATTGAGACCTCATGTAGACTTAACCCTCTGCCTCATGGAGTTCTGTAACTGGTGGGTAATAAACAAGAAGATGAAAGAATTTTTCTCACAAGGAATCATTGGTCTTTAAGTGATAAATATTTGTTTCATATGTATAGCATTTCTGCCATTTCCCAACATGCTCTGGACTCTGTTATTAGAAATATGATTTAATGTGGTCACGTAAAAATGTGTAAATAATTTTCATGCATTCATAATACTCTTAAACTGATGAGGAAGTGTGTACAGAAAAAGTTTTTAATGATGATGTCATAGAATAAATGTTTGGAGATGACAGAGTCACATGTAATCTTCCTACAAATGGAGTGTGGATACCCAGTGTTGTCAGTCTTATACATCCTACTGTACACATACTGTGATGTTTTAGGACTCAGTGGCCATTGAGGATGTGGCTGTGAACTTCACCGCAGAGGAGTGGGCTTTACTGGATCCTTCACAGAAGAAACTCTACAGAGATGTGATGTGGGCAACCTTCAGGATCCTGGACTCAGTAGGTAAGAATGAGGACATTTCTTCACTTCATCAGAGAACAATTGTTTCTTGCCCATCAACATGGTTCCAAGACGGTAGAATGTGGAAATGGGTGTGTGTGGGGGGTGTTGCTAAATAAACTAGAAATGGTCATAGCTCATCATGGAGTTAGAATCTAAAAACTTTTCTCTAATTTCTAATACTTTGTAATCACCTTTCTGGGTCTGCATTTCAGGAAAAGCATGGGAAGATCATGATATTGAAGATCAGTACAAAAACCAGGGGAGAAGACTAAGGTGAGTCACACTCACAGTGGAAAGCAGTATCTCACATGAGAATCCTGGTATCTTATGAAATTTTTAAAGATGTAAACAAAACAAACCTCATTTGAAATTTAGCTATTCTTAGAAAATTTTCACTAAATATACTTTCTGAAGTGTGATATAGAGGTGCAGTTTTTGCAAAATAGTTCACTTGGAAATAGTATTAATAAACCCTATATATGAATATCACTGTTTTGACAATAGCCAGTGTAAAGACTTCTTGCACAGCATTCAGTATATTCAATTTCAGAGAATTCAGATAAGGCAGAAAACCTAAACTTTTCCTATAACTTATATATAAGAAATATATAATCATTAATAAAGCAATAATTAATAATGTGCTTCTCATTTTTTACACAAGTCATATGGTACGGACACTCTGTGCAAGTGAAGAAGGTGGTCAATGTGGAGAAAATTTCAGCCTTGTTGCAAACCTCACTTGGAAAAAGAAAACTACAGGAGCTAAACCATGTGAATGCAGTGCATGTGGGAAAGTCTTCAAGCATCATTCATCCCTTAGTAGGCATGTTAGATGTCACACTGAACATAAAGCATGTGACTATCAAAAATATGGAGAGAAGCCTTATAAATATAAGGAATGTGGAAAAGACTTCCCTTTTCACAGGTCTTTTCAAATTCATAAAAGTCATACTGGAGATAAACCTTATGAATGTAAAAAATGCAGTAAAGCATTCACTTCTTCAGGTTATCTTCTAATATATGAAAGAATTCATACTGGAGAGAAACCCTATGAATGTAAAGAATGTGGGAAAGCCTTTACAAATCCCTCAAGCCTTCAATCACACATGATCTTTCACACTGGAGATGGACCTTACAAGTGTAAGGAATGTGAGAAAGTATTCATTTCTCCCAGTGCATTTCAAATATATGAAAGGAGTCACACTGGGGAGAAACCCTGTGAATGTAACGAATGTGGGAAAGCCTTTAATTACCCTTCAGGCCTTCAATCACACATGATCTTTTATACTGAAGACGGACCTTATAAATGTAAGGAATATGAGAAAGCCTTCATTTTTCCCAGTTTACTTCGATACATGAAAGAACTCACGCTGGAGACAAACCCTGCGAATGTAAAAAATGTATTAATACGTTCACTTTTTCCAGTTCTCTTCGAGACCATGAAAGAATTCATACTGGAGAGAAACTCTATGAATATAAACAATGTGGTAAAGCCTTCACTTCTTCCAGCTCTCTTCGAAAAAATGAAAGATATCATACTGGAGAGAAACCTTATGAATGTAAAGAATGTGAGAAAGCATTAACTTCTCTCAAATCACTTCAAAGACATGAAAGAAGTCACACTGGAGAGAAAGCGTATGAATGTGAGGAAAATGAGAAAGCATTTATTTCTCATGAAAAGTTGCAAAGACATGTGAGAATGCACACTAGAGGAAAAACAAACCTACATGTAAATGTAGATGATGTGGGAAAGCCTTTGTCATCTGAGTTCTTTCTGAGCGTATGAAAGGACTCACTTGATAAAAACCTCTTAAATGTAAAGAGCATGAGAAAAACTTCAATTGGCCTGGGTCACTGTATGTGAAGGTCTCTCCAAAAAAATATAAATGTAAGTAATATGAGCAAGCTTGATGGAAATTAATCTGTGTATAATGTTCTAGAAAACTTTGAACATGAAAGAGGTGTTATAAAAGTTGTAAATATATTGTGTTTACCGAGGCTCTCTTTTTTTTTTCTTATTTTTTATTGATGTCATAATAGTTTATAACATTGTGAAATTTTGGTTGTACATTTTTGTTTGTCAGTCACCGTACACATGTCTCCCTACTCCCCTTGTGCTCACCGCCACCCCCATTGCCCCTGGTAACCACAATACAGTTCTCTCTGTCCGTGTGTTGGTTTATATTCCACATATGAGTGAGATCATACGTTGTTTGTCTTTCTCTTTCTGGCTTGTGTCACTTAACATAATACCCTCCAGGTCCATGCATGTTGTTGCAAATGGGACGACTTTGTCTTTTTTTATGGCTGAGTAGTATTCCATTGTATATATATACCACATCTTCTTGAGCCACTCATCAGTCGAGGGACACTTGGGTTGCTTCCACTTCTGGGCTATAGTGAATAATGCTGCAATGAACATAGGGGTGCATAAGCCTCTTTGGATTGTTGATTTCAGGTTTATTGGCTAGATTCCCAGTAGTGGGATAGCTGGATCATAGGGTATTTCTATTTTTAATTTTTTGAGGAATCTCCATACTGTTTTCCATAGAGCCAAGCCTCTTTCTTAAAGGGCAACACTTGATTGTGGATTTCTTTTCATTACTTTCAGAAATGAATATTGAGGTGAGAGAATTCTGCAAGTTGTCCTTCATCAGTTGTACATAAAGATTAATAGGTAGTGCTTTTTCCTTGAATCAGTTAATAATGTTTTCTCAATTTTTTTATAATATTTTAATTGTTCTGTGTTAAAGGGCCATTGAAAAATGAAAGTTTGTATTTGTTGGGATTTTCTTTTTTTTTTTGTGAGGAAGATCAGCCCTGAGCTAACATCCATGCCCATCTTCCTCCACTTTATATTGGACGCCGCCACAGCATGGCCTGAAAAGCAGCGCGTTGGTGCGCACCCGGGATCTGAACCGGTGAACTCCGGGCCGCTGTAGTGGAGTGCGTGCACTGAACCACTTGTGCCACTAGGCTGGCCCCTGTTGGGATTTTCTTATTGGCCTTGTATTGCCATTCCTGGATATGCCTAATCCATGGCATATATTGTTCCTTTCTTTGAGAAAGCTCCTTTTATGGGGTGATGGGTATAGGAGCCTATTTCTGTTTTCTATAGTATTAAACAGTTGGAATAAATTTTTATGTATGGCAAGTTTATCAGAGTATACTTTCCTGTAAGTTACTATTTTCATATTTGTGCCTTTTCTCTGTCTTTCCTTTATTTTATTTTATTTTTTAATTTTTTTGTTGAGGATTGGCCCTGAGCTAACATCTGTTGCCAATCCTCCTCTTTTTGCTTGGGGAAGATTGGCCCTGAGCTAACATCTGTGCCAATATTCCTGTTTTGTATGTGGGATGCTACTACAGCATGACCTGATGAATGGTGTGTAGTTCTGCACCCAGGATCTGATCCCAAGAACCCTGGGGTGCCAAAGCAGAGCACACAAGCTTAACTACTACACTACTGGGCCGGCCCCTGTCCTTCCTTCTGACTGGTATTTGGAGAACAGACTTTGAATTAAGTAGAAATCTCTGACAGAGGAACAAAATCTAGAGCTGGACATATCACCCTGTATTGTGTTATGTCATGAGGGTACTGTGTAGAACTAGATCTTTAAGAATCCATCCAGTTTATGGTTTCATGTTGAAATTCACAAATAGCCTCACTTGCATGAGATTTGGAAGGCAGAAACAAGTTATTAGGCAGATTTTGGAGCCACCATACAAGGAGAGACAGTTACCTAGGAGCTTTGAAGAACCCATCTTTGATCCCATTTTCTGGATTCTTTGCCCTTCTAATCTAAAGTATCTTGAAAACCACCAACAACTGTTTTATTTCCATTTTCTTACAGGTGTATTTTCCACTGATGTTTTCACATTAAAGATCCATTAGAGTTAGGAATTTTCTGTAAGGCCTCTTCTGTCCACCAGGAAACTAATTCAGACTTTTGTGGTTGGGAGTATTCTCTGATTCCCCTCTTCTCTAGATGATATCTCTATAAGGTCTAATTTGTATACAAAACACCTTATATTGTTAACGTTTTCCTGATTCACCATGACATCTACAATGGGGCATAAAAAAGGAAGACCTGGGAATTTCTCTGCTGCATTGTGCAGTGGCTGCCTTGACCCAGTTCTCCCACATGAGAACAGTCTGCTTTCTCATGTCAGGAAGACTGTGTGTTTTCTGTTACTTGTATCTGAACACATTCCCTCAGTATGTTTTCAATAATGTTTTTTTTTGTTTGTTTGTTTTTTTTTAAAGATTTTATTTATTTTATTTTTTCCCCCCAAAGCCCCAGTGGGTAGTTGTATGTCGTAGCTGCACATCCTTCTAGTTGCTGTATGTGGGACTCGGCCTCAGGATGAACGGAGAAGTGGTGCCTCGATGTGCACCCGGGATCCGAACCCGGGCCACCAGCATCGCAGCGCGCGCACTTAACCACCAAGCCACAGGGCCGGCCCTCAATAATGTTTGATTGTGTGGCATTAAAACTACATGCATTTCCTTTGAAATGAACGTTGCTGTAGTTGTTTCATTGATATATTTTATCAACTGTTTTCTGAGCCATTGAATGCTAATAAATATTATTGTGGTTTTCATTTCCTCAGAGAATATATTAAAATCCATTTTAATTATAGATTTTCAAATATACTTTGCAATTATCTTCATTTAATCATTATACATTATGAGTCAATTTTATCATGTACATACAAATTACGGTATTTTTTTCCTCAGGCAAACTGTATTTTTTTTTCTTTTTTGGTGAGGAAGATTAGCCCTGAGCTAACATCTGTTGGCAATCCTCCTCCTTCTGCTGAGGAAGACTGGCCCTGGGCTAACAACCGTGCTCATCCTCCTCTACTTTTTATATGTGGGATGCCTGCCACAGCATGGCTTGATAAGCAGTGCGTAGGTCTGCGCCTGGGATCCAAACCTGGAAAACCCTGGGCTGCTGAAGCAGAGTGCATGAACCCAACCACTACACCACTGGACCAGCCCCTTTTTTTCTTTAATAGTTACAATTTTTGTCATAAAACTAATGTCTCATTCATTCTTAATCCAAAACTTAAGCAGCATGGGTTTTTCATGCCCTCTTGGCAGTGTCCTGTAGGATTGTACCTGTAGTCAAAAAGAGGGGTGTAATGAATTCTAATAAGACTGACTACAGACCGTGAAGGACTGTGAGGTGTAAGAGTAACAGGCGGCTGAAAAGGACTTCTTACAAGATTTCAGGGGCCAGCCCAGTGGTGTAGTGGTTAAGTTCACATGCTCTGCTTCAGTGGCCCAGGGTTCAGGAGTTCGGGCCCCGGGCATTGACCTACACACTGCTCATCAAGCCATACTTGGATGGCATCCCACATGCAAAACAGAGGAAGATTGGCACAGGTGTCAGCAACAATCTTCCTCAAGCAAAAAGAAAAACAACAACCAGATTTTGGCATGTGTTTGTGGATTTGATTGCTATTCAAGGAAGCAGGTCATTTTCTGTATTGAATTCTGAGAGGTGGTAAACTCATTCTGTCTTTGGGAAACATTTTGTCTTTGGTAAAAATAACCGTTGTTTTCTAGAAGGCAACAACAATGTAGTGGAGATAAAGGTAATTTGTAAGAAGTTCCAGTCAGCCACTTTAGTAAGAAGGAGGGAATATTAGTGATGTTTATAATTTGGAATGTTGTATTTTACCACTTTTACTAGTGTGGTAAAAAAGTACCCATAGTTTTTTTTTTGGTGACTGTGAACCTTTCGTAAAGGAGGCATGTGACATATCTGTCATCAACAGGATGACCTGGCCTTGCAGTGACTGCAGGCAGCTCCTGGTCCTCTGGGACAGCTTTTGTCTTTCCTACTTGTTATCAAAACACTGATGTATTTCCTACAGTGAATTAGACAGTTTACCATAAAGAACCTCAGTTAAAATACATAAATTCACTTCTTAGTATAGTATGTAATATTTTTAATGTCTCCTTTATGACTCAACTGAGGCCTTGAGTTTAGGTAAATTGTGGGACAATACGAACCTAGCAAGGGAGAGAGACAGGACCACTGTGCCAATCAAGCCTTTCTTTCTCACAGACTATGCCTTTGATGATAATGTTTCAACATCTCTCACATGCCATGCACTATAGAGTCAAGGCACACAATTTTGCACACATAGGATTTGGATATAGTGGTGTGAAACAAGTTCTTGCAGTCCTGGTGCTTATATGTTTGTGGGAAAACAGAAGTGGTTAACAAATGGCAAATATATGTCTGATAAGATGGAAATAAGGGCCTTGAATAAACATAAAAAAATATGAGCTAATAGGAATGCTGAGATGAATATATATCTTTTCTATGAGGGTAGGGGTGAGTGAGGTTGTCATCATTATTGTTATCTGGGACTTGAGACTTCCTATTGATTTAAGCCACAGATATTTGTGGTGTCTTTTTGTTTTTCCTGTTGAGAGGATTTTTATCTTTAAATATTTAAAATACATAGTCTTGGGCTGGCCCTGTGGCTTAGTGGTTAAGTGCAGGTGCTCTGCTACCGGCGGACCGGGTTCGGATCCCGGGCGCGCACCGACACACCACTTCTCCGGCCATGCTGAGGCCACATCCCACATACAGCAACTAGAAGGAGGTGCAGCTATGACATACAACTATCTACTGGGGCTTTGGGGGAAAAAAAATAAATAAAATTATGAAAATGAAAAAAATAAAATACATAGTCTTGGGCATTTTCATTTTGCTGTTTTACAGACACGAATGTGCAATATACACCCCAGTAAACCATGGAGTTCCTCCCATTTAGAGAAACAGTTGCATTCATCTGCACTGCTCTAGCTCATCCTGAGTGTATTCTATGAGTAGAGTGATATCTGTGTGAGTCCACTGTGAACTCCTAGTGGAAACCCCAGAAAGAGCTATGGGTGTTTAGAGGCAATCATCCAAGGAATAATGAGGTGAACTGCAGGGAGAGGGTATCATTTTGAGTAATATCCTAACTGAGTATAAAAGGAGAAATTAGAAATAGTTTCTTTTTATCACAGGAGTAGCTGGAAGTCTTTAGGTTCAATGATTCTCAAAGCCCCGTAGCCCATCATGCTATTCATAGGTTTTATTTCCATATGCTTAGACATCCAGCACATGGTGTGGAAAAGTGCAAAACAATAGTAACACGGTTGTTTTATACGCCGGTTTAATAAAGAGCAAAAGAAAGCATTAATCTTTTCCATTTATTTTAGCGTTAACTTATGTATTGGAGGGGTTTCAATCAAATGGTCACCACAAGAGTGTTCTTCTTGGTAATGGCACGTTTACCATGTTTTGATGGCAGTATTAATATACATTTGTGAAAATTCACGAGTCTACATAAAGTATTATATATTTATGTAATTAATGAAAAATGAATAACAGAATCACTTTCATGTGCTAGGAGAATGTTAAACTTTCCCGATCCTTGCTTTTTATGCGTTCAGTACTTCTTTCTAGCACTGTGCGATCTGTCTTGGGATGAATTGAAGACTGAGAAGAATAATTCAGTCCTCAACAGGCCTTTCTTGCAGCTTTGGAAATTCTGTGGTTCTGAAACAAAAAGGTGTCTCCTAAGTGGGATCTGTCTGGGAACAGCCTCATTTGTGTGCATCAGCATCATTACTTTCCATTATTATCCGTAGACCATTTCCAGCTGTTCATTTCCTAACTCAAGCCTACTTGTGCCTGCTTACCTGGAAACATCTTTAGAAATTTACACATTCCATCTTGGAAAATTTCCCTGAGATAATGATGGGGGCCTGTGAGGTGAGAGGGTGACAATTCAGTGTTAGAACCCACATCAGCAGCACATTCTGTAAGCCATAGCTTTCCCAGCTGTCACATATTTATCAGACCTGCTTGCTTACTTATTCACACAACACTTAAAAGTGACTGACTCTGGCTGGCCCTGTGGCTTAGCGGTTAAGTGCACGTGCGCTGCTACTGGCGGCCCGGGTTTGGATCCCGGGCGCGCACTGACACACCACTTCTTCAGCCGTGCTGAGGCCGCGTCCCACATACAGCAACTAGAAGGATGTGCAGCTATGACAGACAACTATGTACTGGGTCTTTGGGGGAAAAAAAGGAGGATTGGCAATAGATGTTAGCTCGGAGCCAGTCTTCCTCAGCAAAAAGAGGAGCATTAGCATGGATGTTAGCTCAGGGCTGATCTTCCTCTCACACACACACAAAAAAGTGACTGACTTTGAACAGGGAAATGAATGCCTCTAGAATTTGTCAAAATAACAGTCTCTCCATTAGTGTCTCTCTCCACACACCCCTTTACCATAGAGGCTTTAGGAGACTCCCATTATGCATCCCAGATTCTCTAAACCTCTCATGGTGGACATAAGTCGCCCAAGCCTTCTTGTAGCAAAACTATTCTCATCCAGTGCTGCACAGAATTAGAGAAGCCACTGATGGCAACTGACAGCCTTTTTGTAAATGGGGGCCCTCCCAGGGCCTGAGTCGATCCTCCACAGCCAGCTTCCCATTTGCCTTGGGTCATGAGTGCAGGACCCCTCAGGCTTGCTAACCAGAGCCTTCCTCATTGAAGAGATGTGTACTTACAGCATAGAGCCAAAAATGGCACCTCTGGCATATCACACCTACAGGAGGAGGTGTGTTCTCCTCTGCTTTGACTGAGGTAATACAGTCTGCAGGAAGTCACCTACTTTTTTTTGGCCAATCCCAGAGTGACTTGGGAGCACATGCGTGACCAGGGAGTTCATATACTTTATGAACAGCGTGCTCCTCCACACCTGATGGGGTCCACTGTGGAGTTGCTTTCCCTGGGTCAAACAGGCCATCCCTGATCACAGATTGGATCAGATTGATTAGTCAAACTCCAGGTAATGGTGCTAGCAATAGAGGATTCCCTGGCCTAGAATCAAACTCATCTGCACGGTTTTATAGGGGAGAAAACTAAGGTGGGTCACACTCACAATAGAAAGCAGTGTCTCATGTGAAAATCCTAGTATGTTATGAAATTTTAAAAAGCAGCAAACAGAACAAATAACCCCTGCTTCAACTGTATTTAGTCTTAGAAAATTTTTACCAAATATACTTTTTTAAATGTGACATAGAATTTCAATATTTGCAAAATAGTTCACCTGGAAACAGTATTAATAAATCCTATATATGAATATCACTGTCTTGATAACAGCAAGCGTGAAGTCCTCTAGCAGAGAATTCGGTATATTCAATTTCAGAGAATTCAGACAAGGCAGAAAATCTAAACTTTTCCTATATATCATAATAAATATAATAAATATAAAATCAATAAAGAAATCATCAATAATGTTTTCATTTTTATAGAAGTCATATGGCAGAGAGACTCTGTGAAAGTAATGAGGATAGTCAACATGCAGAAAAGTTCAGCCTTATTCCAAATCTCAGCCTGAACAAAGAAATAGTGGAGTGAAACCACATGAATGCATTGCATGTGGAGAAGTCTTCATGCATCTTTCATCCCTTTATGGGCATCAGCTGTCACACTGAAGAGAAACCATATGAGTATCAGAAATATGCAGAGAAGCCCTATAAATGTAAGGTATTTGGGAAAGCCTTCATCTATCTCCAATTTTTTGAAAACCATGAAAGAAATCATAATAGAAAATGTGTAAAAGTAAGGAATGTGGGAAAGCCCTCATGTGGCTCAAAATCCTTTGAAGACATGATAACACACTAGACATGATCTTTATACAGGTAAGGAATGTGGGAAAGGCTTCACTTGTTCCAGATCACTTCAGATATAGGGAAGAGCTCACTCTGGAGAGAGACTTTCAATGTAAACAGTATGGAAAAGCCATTAGACAGTATTATTCCTTTAAAAAACATGATAGGACTCACATAGGAGAGAAACTTTATGAATGTAAAAAATGCTGTAAAGTCTTCAGTTCTCCCAATTCTCTTCAAAACCATGGAAGAACTCATACTAGAGAGAAGCCTTATGAATGTAAGGAATGTGGAAAAGCCTACAAATATTATAGTTCCTTACAAAGACATGAAGGTACTCACACAGGACAGAAAACTTATGAATGTAAACAATGTGGTTAAAGTTTTAGATCTCATCTAAGTTTCCAAACACATGAAAGAAATCACACTGGAGAGAAACTGTGTGAATGAAAGGAATGAGGGAAAGCATTTATTTCTCTCTCATACCTTCAAGTACACGTGATCACTTGGACTGGTGTTGGGCCTTAAAAATGTAAGGAATGTGAGAAAGCACTCATTAGTCCCAGTTAATTTTAAATACATTAAAGAAGTCACACAGGAGGGAAACCTAATGTATGTAAAGAATGTGGGAAAGCCTTTTGTCATCCATCCAGCACTTCATCACACATGAAAATGCATACTGGATATACACCTTATAAATGTAAAGAACGTGCAAGACTTGCTTTTGTCCCAGTCCATTTGGAATACATAAAAGAACTGACGAGAGAAACCCTGTGAATGTAAACTATGTGGTAAAACCTTCATTCGTTCCAGTTATTTTCAAGTACACGAAAGAACTAATACTGCAGAGAAACCCTATGAATGTCAGGAATGTGGGAAAACCTTCATTTGTTTTTTGTTTTTTGTTTTTTTTTTTTAATTTTTTAAATTTATTTATTTATTTTCCCCCCCAAAGCCCCAGTAGATAGTTGTATGTCATAGCTGCACATCCTTCTAGTTGCTGTATGTGGGACGCGGCCTCAGCATGGCCGGAGAAGTGGTGCATCGGTGCATGCCCGGGATCTCAACCCGGTCCGCCAGCACTGGAGCGCACACACTTAACTTCTAAGCCACGGCACCAGCCCAAAAAACCTTCATTTGTTACACATACTTTTGAAGACACATGAGAGTGCACATGGGAGAGAAGCCATATAATTGTGAAGAATCTGGGAAAGTCTTCTGTGATCCCAGTTCTTTCTGAAGGCACGAAAAGACTCACTGGATAAAACCTCTTGAAAGTAAACAATATGAGAAAGTCTTCAATTGACCCCCATACTAAAATACGAAAACTCCTACTGATAAGAAATATAAATGTAAGTAACCTAAGAAAGCTTGGTGAGAGTTAACACATGTATAATGTTCCAGAAAACTTTCCATATGAAAGAGTTGTTATAAAAGTTGTAAATATATTGGTTTACTAAGCTTCTTTCTTACAGTAAATCATTGGACTGTGGAATTCTACTAATGACATTTAGAAATGAATATTGAGATCAAGTAATTATTCAAGTCATCTTTCAACAAGAGTACATAAGATTAATAGGTAGTGATTTTTCCTTAAATCAGTAAATGATATTTTCTCCTTCTATTTTGAAGCCTTTTGGATTCATGGGTGAATTAAAGTTTATTTCTAATATGCAGTTAGGTTTAATATATTTATAATGTTTTATTTGTTCTACGTTAAGGGGCCGTTGTAAAATGAGTTTGGCACTTGTTAGGACTGTCCTACTGGCCATGTGACAATTCTTGGATATCCCTAGTCCATTTTATACTTTCTACCTTTCTTACTGAGAAAGCTCCTTTTAGAGGGTGGTGGATATAGGATCTTTTTCCCACTTTCCCCAGCATTCAACAGTTGAAATAAATTTTTATGTATGGCAAGTATATCAAAGAGTATAGTTTCTTGTGAATTATTATTTTCATATTTGGGCCTTTGCTCATTGTCCTTCCTTCTGACTGGCATTTGGTGAATAGACCTGGAATTAAGAAGGGAGCAATGAGATAGGACAAAAAATCTAGAGTGGCAGATATCCTCACTGTGAATATTGCTAGGAATTAGATTGTCCATTACCTATCCCCTTTACAGTTCCATGTTGGAATTCACCAGTACCCTCCCTTGCAGGAGATTTTGAAGGTGGAAGCAAGGAAGGCATTTGTCAGAGTTTGGAATCACCACATATGGAGAGAGACAGATATATAGAGGAAATCACGTTCCAGCCCATTTACAGATTCCTCACCCTTCCAGTCAAGAGTATCTTCAAAACCACCACCAACTGTTTGATTTCATTCTCTTAGAGGTGTAGTTTTCCACTGATGTCTTTGTAAGTCCCACATCAAAGATACATGAGAGTTTTTTTCTGTAAGCCTTCTTGTGTTCACCAGGAAGATTCAGACTTTCGTGACTGGGAGTATTCTGATTCCCCTCTTCTCTAGATTATATCTGTATAAGGTCTAATTTGTATAAGAAACACCTTATTTTGGTTAATAGTGCTAGTGACTACCTTTTCCTTATTCACCATGACATCCACAATGGTGCCGTAAAAAAAAATGACACTAGAGTTTGTTTCTCTGCTGCATTCTGCCTTGACTTAATCCTTCCATATAAGAATAAGCATCTTGGGCCGGCCCCGTGGCTTAGTGGTTAAGTGAGCGCGCTCCACTGCTGGCGACCCGGGTTCGGATCCCGGGCTCGCATCGACGCGCTGCTTCTCTGGCCATGCTGAGGCCGCGTCCCACATACAGCAACTAGAAGGATGTGCAGCTATGACATACAGCTATCTACTGGGGCTTTGGGGGGGAAAAATAAATAAATAAAATCTTTAAAAAAAAAAAAAAGAATAAGCATCTTTCTCATGTCAGGAGGACTGTGCGTGTTTCCTGTTACTTGTAGCTGAATGAAATCCCACAAGATGTTTTCAATGACATTTGCTTGTACATGATTAAAAGTATGAAGTATGTGCAATTTTGTGAAACAAACATTTCTGCAGTTCTTCTGTAGAAATACTTTATCAGCTGTTTTCTAAGCCCTCATGCTAACAAATATTGTTTTCATTTCTTCAGAGGATATGTTAAAATATACCATTATCATTATGGATTTTCAGATAAACTTTTCAGTTTTCTTCCTTTAATTACTATACATTGAGTCAGTGTTATCATGTATGTAAAAGTTCATGTATTATTTACTCAGGCAAATTTTATTTTTTATTCCTTTATAGTTAGAATTTTTCTCATGAAACTGTGTCATTCATTCTGAATACCAAAAACTTAAATTATAGTTTTTTCAGTGTCTTCTTGCCTGTGATCTGCAGGATTATAGCTGTGGTCAAAGAAAGGGGTGTAATGTTATGGGGGTTGACACATGGCCCTTTTCTTTTTGCATCATCAGTAGGATGGTCAAACCTTGGAAACCTGCTCCATCTACCTCTACACACCTTAAAGTTCCAACCCATTCTTTTTTGTACAAACCACTTGAACCAACTGACCCTTGCCCTACTCTTCTTAAAAAGTACCTTTGAGTAATAAACATTTTTCTTTCCACTTGATGCATGTGGTGACATCAGTCTTTTCATGCAATCCCATTTTGGGTAGGGTGTTAATCTTGCCCCCAAAGGGGCTATACTAAAACAGAAAGTACCCCATCAAAAATGTCTCTTAAAAAAGTCTTTTTGATGACAAACATGTTTTCATGATCTGGAATTTTCAGAAAATCAGGATAAGATATCCAAATGCAGAGATCCCAGTTTGATATTTTTAAATGCATTGGTCAGAAAAGAAAACCTTTGAGAGAACACGGTCACTAGCAATATAATCAATAAGTGAAAATGGTACAGTCTCACAATGCAAAAAAACCGAGCAACAGAAATGAATAGATGGTTTGCTTTGACACGTAGAGAGCTTGAAGTGATCATTCTCATCTTCTGAACAAGAAAAATGCTGCACAACCTGAGAAGTAACACCTCTTAGATTCATGAGAAATATGAGGTTACATGACAAACCAATGCCCCCAAAATGAGACAGGCAAATATGGAGAACTACCACATTCCAGGAGGAGAAATGACTGGATCCATTATCCTCTAAGAACATATAAAATGTAGAAGATGAATTTTGGAGGCACAGTATGGGTTACCTTGACAGTTAAAACTCTAAGCGGGAGCTGTCTGAGGAGGTCCCCCACAATTTATGAACTTTTTCTTCAGGAGCTCAACTAGGCCCTCATAGTGAAGATTAGGAAAAATATGTCTCATGCTTCATGCAGGAAATGGGAGGAAACATTTTGATATACACAC